AGAGAGAACGAGCACACCAGTAGCAGGGGTAGAGAAAGAGAAGAATCCACTCTGGGCTGGATCTCACAATGGTGAGATCATGACCGGAGCAGAAATAAAGAGTCATAGGCTTAACCAACAGCCACCCAGACACCCCAGGCAATTAGTTTTAAACATGCTGTATTGAGGGGCCCCTGGGTGGCTCAGTGGGTTAAGCCTTTGCCTTCGACTCAGGTCACGATCTCAGGGTCCTGGGATTGAGCCCTGCGTCCGGCTCTCTGCTCAGCAGGAAGCCTGCTTCCCCTCCCCCTCTCTGCCTGCCTCTCTCCCTACTTGTGATCTCTGCCAAATAAATAAAAATCTTCACAAAAAATAAACAAACATGCTGTATTGTGGTATCTTTATCATAAGCACATGGAAACATCAAATAGTTACACAAATGTTTAGAACAGGAGGCTGAAGGAGAGATCTAGGTTGGAAATGCAAATATGGGATTCATTAGACAGAGCTGATAATTTGGTTACGGGACAAAGTAGAGGCTGCCACCAGGGGATCAGTGGGACAAACCTGACCCTCAGACATGTTTTGTTTGGCCTACACTGTTTACACAAATTTTTGAGATTAGCGACAACATTTAAAAATGGGGAGACTTCACTTAGAAATTCAAATTTTGGGTTTCTCTTGGAAAAAACTAGAGACATGCTGCATTGACAACAACCTGCCGGAGCAAAGACCAGCAACTATAGCTTGCTGTTTTTTTTTTTAAAATAAAGTTTTATTGGAACACAACCATACCCATTCATTTATGAACTAAGACTGCTTTCCACACCACCATGGCAGACTGAGGTGTTGCAGTAGAGGCCATATGTCTCATGAGATAAACTATTCACTATCCAGCCCTTTACGTAAAAAAATTTGCCAGCTCTTGAGCGAGGGCTAAATGGAAGGAGGGCCACTCCTTTCCGTTGAGCTGTGTGTTCATCCAGTATATCAGCCCCACCCTGCCTACCTAGCTTGCTTCACTCAGGTGTGTTACCTGCTGTCCCAGGCAGATACTCAAGTTTATGACTCCAAATACACAGAGGGATGAGAGATTAAAACCAAGCCTTGAGCCATTCAAACATGCAAGTGTTCAGAAAACAAAGCTAAGAGGATACAACCAGAGAAAAGGTGATTCCAAATGGATTATGGATTCACAAGAAAAATTAAAGGACAAATAGAACAGAAGCAAATATTTCTTTCATCTTAGAGGGAGAACTTTCGAAGCACTGATCAAATATCAGAAAATGGAGAAGACTGTAATGCATTAAATTTATACATTAAAAAGCAAAGCCGAAAAGCAAAAGCTAGAAAAAATGTCTGACAATAATAATAAATGCCTCATGTATGAAGAGTTTTAGATCATTCAGAAAATGGCAATATCTCCCACGTAAAAAGGGAGAAGGGTGAAAGTCACAAAAACTGACAGGCCTACATACAAGGGGAAACAGACGTATCTACAATCATAGGAGAAGATTTTAAAACTCAACATTCCAAAAACAAGATTTTAAAAAGCAGAATATGAAAGTAAATTTCATTTTAGCGATACATACTATAAAGTATAATTCAAACAATGTGTTGTTGCGGTACAGACAGACAAATAAGCCAAAGAGCCTGGAAACAGACCCAGGTATACACGGGACCAGAGTCTACCAGAGTTAGCTTTACAAATCTGTGACAAAACATAGATTTTTCAGTAAGTGATGCTGGACTACCAGTTTTCAGCATGGAAAAAAAAATAAAAGTAGTTCCTTACTCACATAATATGCAAAAAAACCCCCAAGAGGGCCTACCCTTAAGACAAAACTTGAACATTTTAGAATAAAGTAGAGATTGTCTTCCCGACATTGGAATAAGGAAGACAATTCAGAAAATAGTAAAGCACTTAAAAAAAAGAAATAAGTCTAATAATATTAAAATTTTAAAATTCTGTATGCATAAGACACCCTAAAATAGACTAAGCCACAGATAAAAAGGACCATTTTTTTTTTCTCACTGATTTGTAATGGTACCTCTGTCATATATTACTATTGAAAATGTATAAAGAACTCCAACAAATCAAGAAAAAGATGGGAACGGCCCAATTTCAAAAAATAAGGCAAAAGATATAAACAGGTAATTTACAAACAAGGAAGCCTGAATAGTTAATAAACATATGAAATACTCAAACTCATGAGTTTAAGAAATGTAAATTAAGAAGTAAGAAATTTCCATCAGGTTCCCTGCTCAGCGGGGAGTCTGTTTCTCCCTCTGACCTCTCCCCTCTCATGGTTTCTCTCTCTCAAATAAATAAAATAAAATACATTTAAAAAAAGAAATAAGAAATTTCATTTCATACCCATCAGACTGACACAAATTACTAAATGTGATAGCATCAAATGTTTGCCAGGATGGTGATAGGACGTTGGCAGTTCCTAAGAAAGCTAAACATGTGATAATTGAAGATCCAGTAGTTCTTATTCTGGTTATGGACCTAAACCAACTCTCAAGATACACAAAACACATTAAAATGATTTACCCCAACTAGTTACTTCTAGGGAGAAAGCAAAAGGACTTCAACTATATCTGTAACATTTTTCTTTTTAAGAAACTTTCTATTTTTTTTTTTTAAAGATTTTATTTTTTTGACAGACAGAGATCACAAGTAGGCAGAGAGGCAGGCAGAGAGAGAAGGGGAGGCAGGCTCCCTGCTGAGCAGAGAGCCTGATGCGGGGCTCGAACCAAGGATCCTGGGACCATGACCTGAGCTGAAGGCAGAGGTTTAACCCACTGAGCCACCCAGGCGCCCCGAAACTTTCTATTTTTTAAAAAGATTTTATTTATTTATTTTAGAGAGCGTGCAAGCACGAGTTGGGGGATGTGCAGACGGAGGAGAGAATCTCAAGCAAACTCCCCACCAAGTGCAGAGCCCCATGTGGGGCTCGATCTCATGACCCTGAGATCATGACTTGAAATTAAATCGAGAGTCAGACGCTTAATCGACAGAGCCACCAAGGGGCCCCAACTCTTATTTATTGAAAAGATTTCACGCACCTATAAGAATGGCTTCAGTGAAGCCATCAGACAATATTAAGTGCTGGGGAGGATGCTGAGCAGCTCCCACAATCACATATTCTGCTAGTAGAAGTGCAAGTAACTAGGACAATGCCTTTGCAAGCCTCTCTGGCAGTATCTACCAGAAGTAAACATGCACCTACCCCAGGACCCAACACTGCTCCCCGTGTATTAATGCAACAGAAATGCACAGACAGGCACACCTTGCTTTCATTATCATCCACTTCACTGAGTTTGCAGATACTGCGTTTTTGTTTTGTTTTATAAATTGAAGGTTTGTAGCAACCCTGCATCAAGCTAGTCTAACTCCATTTTTCCAACAGCATTTACTCATTTTGTGTCTCTGAGTCACATTCTTGCAATATTTTAACCTTTATCGTTATTATTGTATTTGTTATGGTGATCTGTCATCAGTGTTCATGACTTGCTAAAAGTTCAGATGACGATTAGCATTTTTTTGGGGAGAGAAAGTATGAGTGACGGTGGGAGAGGGGCAGAGGGAGAGAGAATATTAAGCAAGCTTGGAGCCTAACGCTGGGCTCAATCTCAGGACCCCGAGATCATGACCTAAGACAAAATCAAGAGTTGGACACTTAACCGACTGCACCACCCAGCACCCCGATGGTTAGCATTTTTTTTTTTTTTAAGATTTTATCCATTTATTTGACACAGAGAGAGAGAGAGAGATCACAAGTAGGCAAAGAGGCAGGCAGAGAGAGGAGGAAGCAGGCTCCCCGCTGAGCAGAGAGCCCGATGCGGGGCTCGATCCCAGGACCCTGAGATCATGACCTGAGCTGAAGGCTGGGGCTTAACCCACTGAGCCACCCAGGCGTCCAATGGTTAGCATTTTTTAACAATATGTTTTAATTAAGGTGTATACACTGTTTTTTTCAGATTTAATGGTATTATACACTTACTAGGCTATAGCATAGTATAAACATAACTTTTACATGCAATGGGAAACAAAAAATTCATTTGACTTCCTTTATTGCAATACTTGTTTTTTACTCTGGAGGTCTGAAACCTAACCCACACTGTCTCCAAGGTATGCCTGCATGGGTTTGCCCAAGACATATACATAGGGGCACTATTCATATAGCCCCAAACTGGAAACCTCCCCGATGCCCATCCCAAGAGAATGGATAAACTGGTCTAGACCAATGAAACCCCACACAACACAGAGAATGGAACACAGCTACATGCAAAGACATGGCTGTTTCTCACAGTAATGTTCAGTGAAGAAAGCCAGACGTTAGAACGTAGTCTGTATGAAGCTCAAGAACAGCCAAAACTTGGGGTGCCTGGGTGGCTCAGTGGGTTAAGCCTCTGCCTTCGGCTCAGGTCATGATCCCAGGGTCCTGGGATCGAGCCCCACATCGGGCTCTCTGCTCTGCAGGGAGCCTGCTTCCTCCTCTCTCTCTCTCTGCCTGCCTCTCTGCCTGCTTGTGATCTCTGTCTGTCAAATAAATAAATAAAATCTTAAAAAAAAAAAAAACAGCCAAAACTAATCTGTGGTGTAAGAAGTTGGGATAAGGTTACCCTTGGAAGAAATGAGTGACAAGAGTACTGCTAGGCTGGTAAGGTTACTCCTTGATCTGGACACTAGTTACATGAACGTGTTAATTTGTGAAAATTCACAGACCCATACAGTTACGATATTTTTATTTTGTATTGCCAAAGAGAGGAAAGAAACAAAGGCAAGAGAAGCAGAATATTAGTGTATGTTTGATTTTGACAGTGAATCCATGTTACTTTTCTTCTCTACTTTTATATTAGTCACAATGCTCTATTACTTAAAATAAGTGCATCACTTAAAAAATAAAAGCACATAGGCATTTCTAATAGTCCTTCTTAAGCACTGAAAAGTGCCCCCTTCCCACTGTCCTGTGGGGCTGTTATTTCTGGAGACCCCCATTTGGCCAACTCACCGGAGTAGTTGCTTTTGGGGGCTTTTCTCTCAAGCACCAATGGTTCTTTTCCATTCTCCAAATTGTAGTTCTCAGGTTTAGAAACTGGAAGCCCTGCTCGTTTAAAAAAGAAAGAACAAAAAAGAAACAGGACTTAACTATCCGTGATGGGCACAAAGACCTATTCTATAACATAGACCCAACCCTATGATCTACAAAGACAGGGTATTATAGGAAGATCAGGAATGAGGGAGGGTGGGCTTCTGAATGCCGCTTAAAGTATTTGAAGCAAGAGTCTGGGTCTGGGAAGGAGCTTATATGCATTGGAAAAGGCAAATGTTTTTGGCTGTCAAAAAGAAGAGAACTTCCAGGGTACCTGGCTGGCTCAGTCCACAGAGCATGGGACCCTTGATCTCAGGGTCACGAGTTCAAGCCTCACACTGGGCAGAGAGCTTACGTTAAAAGACAGAGAGAAGAGAATTTCTCTTTATTTCTCTATTGAGGAATTTTCTCTTCCAGGGAGACACACAGGTGAGTCCTTTAGCTTTGGGAAGAGATGAAGAAAGCGGACCTCAGTGGCTAAAAGTTGTGACCATGGTGACCAGAGTTTTTGTCTTCTTTCTAAAGGTTTTTCTCTTTCTTCCTTCTTCAGTTACCAGAACCCACTTTCTCAGGGATTTATTACATAAGCACAAAACAAATTCAAGGCCAAAAGCATTCAATTGGAAAACGATGGCAACAAATTACGGGTTCAGATGTAACTTACAATGTATATGTGTAAATATCACTGGGAAGAGTTAACATAGTTTCTTCTACCTTGTTTGAAAACATATACGGGCACATATTATGCACACGCACACACACCCCCGCAGAGAGGTGAACACAAGATCCGTACTGGCTGGAGAGTACTCTAACTGGAAGAATCATGCAACCCTGGAGCTGCCAATGGCCATCTCTGCCACAAGGGGAGATCCTAAGAATAAAGCTAAGACAGGGAAATGCCAAGCCACATGTTTAAAAAAATTAAGAAAATTTCTGTCAGTATATAGGATTCCCTGAATCAATATTTTTATCCCCTTTAAGCCAGTGTGAATTAGGTTTCTAACATTCGAAAGATTTTTGACACAAAACCAGCATAGACATTTCACCAAGAAACTAGGACAGAAATAGATTTTTCTTTGGGTCCAAAGGGAGCAATACTTTACGATTTCTGAATGCAAAGGTAAAGGCTTCGTTAAGCTATTTCACTTTCAGTAACGTAATGATGTCCCCATACACAGATTCTAGAGTCATGATGAGAACCCATCCTTACAAAGCGAGACCAGGTTCTTATAGTTCTCCAGCATCACCTCCCTTTGTGCGGGATCCAGCTTTCCCCACTCCTCTGGGGTGAAGTCCATGGCCACGTCCTTGAACGTCACTGATGCCTAAGACACAAACATACTTTTGTTCACCATCTCTCACTTAACAGACTCAATTTCAACCCCCCGTTTCCGCTGGCCCTCCAGTAGATGCGTAAGCTATACATACATAGGACAGGAAATGACAGTGATAAATGATAAGCATTCTAATGTACTCAGATTTGGAATACTCTAGGTATAAAGTCACTGGGTATCAATCATGTGCCAGGCATACTGTGGATTCAGTATGAGAACCCAAAGAGGTAAGACTACGGTTTCTCCATTGAGACTATTATTTTTCTAGGGAATACAGAGTTAAAACATGAATCAACGGGTCAACAGTGCAGGTTGGCAAAGTAAACAAAACTGGGCCTGAGGAAAAAGGCATGTCTGAGTCATTCTCCTTGTGAGTCCTCAATAAAAACTTAAAGAATCACCAGAAGATGAACTGAAACACAGAATTTGGAAATGTGAAATAGTCAGGCAGTGAGAAGACTGACAGTTAAGCACGGAATTCAAAGGAAAAAGCATTAAACTAGAAACTAACAAGAACAAAGTAATTGAAGGTACAGATATAACTTATAAATGTTCCTGTGTAAATATCACAGGGTCAAGTTTATATAACACAAAATAAATAAAAGCTGTGATGAATTATCATAAGTGAGGTAAATGTTAACTTTTGGAGACTCTAACTGGAGAGTATATGAAAATTCTTTTTACTACTTACAACATTTATTTAAATCTAAAATTATTTCAAAATAAAGTTCCCAGGGGCACCTGGGTGGCTCAGTGGGTTAAGCCTCTGCCTTCGGCTCAGGTCATGATCTCAGGGTCCTGGGATCGAGCCCCGCATCGGGCTCTCTGCTCGGCAGTGAGCCTGCTTCCCCCTCTCTCTGCCTGCCTCTTTGCCTACTTGTGCTCTCTCTCTCTCTCTGTCAAATAAATAAATAAATAAATAAAACTTAAAAAAAAAATAAAAATAAAAAAAAATAAAGTTCCCAAAGTGGAAATAATCTGAAACTTAAATAAGAAGAATAAAAAATAAAACAAAACCAAGAATCATCCTTGGAAAATAAAATACAATATAAAAATCATTAAGTAGCCACTGAATAGATATTACAAGGAAAAAATGACCTTGTTCCTTAATCTGCATATCTATGGCTAAAATGACACATGATAGGAATTAATTTCCAAACCATTAAAAGAAAAAAAACAAACAAAAGTTCAAGCTATTGCATGAAAGGCAGAAAATACAAAAGAAATAAAGTATAATAAACAATTATAAAAATCACATGGCAAGAAAAATCTGAAACATAAAATTAATATGACTTCTTCATTTACCGCATAAAAAGTTTAAAAAAAAAAAAAACAAAAAACACATCCTATTTACAGAAAGGACACTCAAACAAAAATCCCAAAGTTGGGGATGAGAGGGAAGTAGAAAGAGATATACACCAAACTGTCCTCCTCAGTAGGGAGAGGGGGAGGGCTGAATTTGGGGAGGCAAGTAATATTATGCTTATTATATATATCTGTGCTGTTCACCTAGTTACAGTGAGCAAGAATTAAAACTTTAATATTTAAAAAAAATCTAATATGTTAAAGATAAAAAAAAAACCCAACAACCAGCTCAGGCAAATTCTAGTAAGAAAGATAGTTGTTAGCATCAAACAAAATCTAATGCAATGCAAAAGACAGTTTTTAAAATTTATATAAAAGGTCAGTGGGTTAAGCCTCTGCCTTCAGCTCAGCTCATGATCTCAGGGTCCTGGGACTGAGCCCCGCATCAGGCTCTCTGTTCAACAGGGAACCTGCTCCCCCCCCCCCCCCGCCCCCGCTTGCCTCTCTGCCTACTTGTGATCTCTCTCTCTGTGTCAAATAAATAAATAAAATCTTAAAAAAAAAAAAAAAAGGTCTAATCCACCCTGAAGCTATTAACATTCTTAAATCCAATATCAAAGTGTTGAAATATATAAAGCATTCATTCCTCCTCTGGTACCTACACCCTGATTCTCCTCTGGCCACTATATTTGGCTACTGTTAGTATAGCTCAGGTATTACTAATTCCATCCCTGATTCATGGATGGGATGTGTATTTGTTTGAGCGTGTGCAGGTATATTCCCTTGGCCTCACCAATTAATTAGAGAATTACAACTATATCTGGCCAATAATGGTGCCAGAATATACCTAATACCCATTCAAGAGTTAATTCCAGGACCTGGGCTTGAATGACTAGGAGAAAAGATAACTTTTTTCTGTGGTCTTCAACACAGGAAGATGTAAGCTTGAATTTGTTAGGAATAGGCACTAGAGAAAAGAGCCTGCTTGAGAACACAATGAGAGAAACAAAAATAAAAACAAAAAACAAAACTCAATGAAATGGAGAGAATACATGCTAATGTTACTGTCTGGGTTCTATTTCTAGCCACACTTGGATTTTTCAGTTATGTTACTCAATAACTCTTTTTGCTTAAGCCAATCTGAATTTTCATGAGCTGCAACTTACAACTTCTTGACTGATAACAGTCTTCAGTAATCATGTAAGGCAGCTGAGAAAGCAATGGAAATAAGCAAGTATATAAGGATCCTGAGAAGGGATGCCTGGCTGACTTAGTCGGAAGAGTGTATGACTCTGGTCATGAGTTCAAAACCCAAGTTGGGTGTGGAGATTGCTTAAATAAATAAAAAACTTATTAAAAAAAAAAAAAAGGATCCTTAGAAGTCACTTTTCAAATAGTACCAATGTGCAATGTCTACTTTTTTACACTCTGATTATAGTAGCAAAGAGAAAGCGAACAGAGGTATTCCACACACATCATGGAGAGTTCTTTTCTCCTACCCACCTTCTTTTCATAAAAACTTTCAAATATACAGGGATGCCTGGGTGGCTCAGTGGGTTAAAGCCTCTGCTTTCGGTTCAGGTCATGATTCCAGGGTCCTGGGATCGAGCCCCACATGTGGCTCTCTGCTCAGCAGGGAGCCTGTTTCCTCCTCTCTCTCTCTCTCTGCCTGCCTCTGCCTACTTGTGATCTCTATCTATCAAATAAATAAATAAATCTTTAAAAAAAACCTTTCAAATATACAAAAAATTGAGAGACAAACACACTATTCACCCATTATGGTACAGCCACCACTCAAGTTCAACAATCCTTGATATATTCTCTTGGGTGGGGGTTGGAAAGTAAGCCGCAGAGGTAACACTTCACCTCTAAAATACTTCAATATTCATCATCGCGGAGGGCCAGATTCTAGCTCTTTAAATTAAATTCTGCACAGGCTTTCTCCTTCTAGCACTTCTTTGAACTATCTGAACCCTTGCTTTCATAATTCGCTTCAGCACTTAAGGTGCTTTCTTACACTTCTATTTAACAGTCATATGTATGTTGTTTCCCCTAGACAGACACATATTTCAATAGGTATGTGCCACATCTTCTTTCAAAATAGTTTCCTATGTTATTCAAGCACAGAAATGAGCATAAAAGTTCAAAGAAGGGCAAGGCTTTCTATATACCTATTGATAGTGACAATTAACACTAGGTGGAGAAGGTACTAGGGGTACATACAAGCCATTTTCTACCGAGTTCATTAGATACTCCAGGAGTCTTAGAGCTGGAACCCAGCTCTCTATACGGGCTCTAGCGGACACAGAAACTCCTATCAAAAAGGAGAGAGTGCATCTGTACTCCGAGAAATAACAGGGAGACGGGTTATTTTTAATACAGTAGAGACTCACACTCACCTGGGATCTAGCTGTGAGGCGCAGAGCTGCCACTTCTCCCTCTTCTGTGCTCTGCTCTGGGGAAAAGGGAGAGTCCTGGGAAGACAGAGCTAAGGACAAGAAAGCAGTATAATGATAGGGCCTAGATCCATCCTGTGACTCAGATTTACAAGTTGAAAATTCCCTCCCATACTAATGGTGCTCCCTACAAACACTGTAAAGGAAGGGAGGGAGCCCCAAACAACCCAGGATCCCAGGATCATGGAGAAATGTCTAGAAGTGTTGCTACTCAGGACTTAAGTTCACTCAGTTGCTGTAATTCTAACACATTCTGGAAAGATGGCACACTCTGATCTAGAAATAAAACTAAGTCAGTTTTCTCCCTGAGCTTAATGTCCATATCAAAAAAACAGGCTCAGTAGCTTTCAGAAATCACCCCGCAAGCTTATTTAAAACAAAGATTGCTGCATCCCACCTCCAAATAATTATCATTAGTTCAATCTATGGTGCAATCTAGAAATCTAACAGGCACTTGGGAAGGTAATCCTGATGTAGGAGGTCAAAGACCAAACTTCAACAAAGACTGCTCTGGTAAACTGGAGGTCAGTCACTGACTTCTAGGCCCGCTTTCTCCTATATAACACAAAAAATGATTTGCTTATTGAAGTCACATGGTAATCATGCAAAGTGGCATAAAAGGCGTGGAAAATATTTTGCCAACCAGAAAGCGAAATTCTCAGACCCACGACTGAGGCTAGGTTGGCATAATCATCTGGGAGTAAGAATGTGTGCGAAAAAGTAATCGAGGCTCTGCTCACGCCTTAGAAGCTAACCTTCCGCTCGGATTTTGCGGGTGGCTTTGAAGGGTCCATTATGCGCCCAGCTGGAGAGGAGAGAGGGTGGATCCCACACCAAGCCCTTCGTGCTCCCTCCAAGAGCCCATCGGTCCCCCAGACAAAGGAGACGGACAGCACTCTCCGCGAAGGGCCACCTTCTGTGAGGCAACTGATTTCCCTTCGGGAGGAAAGAATTTCTCCCTCCCCAACACAAGTTCAACAACACTTCGGCAACTCCTACCTCTCTTAGGCTTGTCGGCCAAGTCGGTCTCCATGATCACTACCTGCTCCGGGTTCCGAATATTCTGATCTCCCACCCAGTTCAGACTTCTCCCGGCAGAACAGCGAGAAGCCCCCGCGGCCTCGTCGTCCTCCTTCCTGACCTCCCTCCGGGGGCTCTGTTGGAAGGCTTCGATCAGCTCGGGTCGGGATTTTTCCTCACTCTCGAGCCTCACTCGGCCCTACGAGGCTGGAACCTGGAAACCCGGGGACAGCATCCCTGAGGCTGAGTGCCAGGTGCCTGTCCCTGCCGCCTGCAGCTGTCCCTGGGGGCACTGAGCGGCTGCGAGGGACCAGCCAGGTACCAGGCGCGCAGACAAATCCCGCCGCGCTCCGGGCTCTGCCCGAAGCCCCGCAAAGGCCCCGCGCCCCGCCCCTCGCGCACCCGCCGGCACCGCGCTCACACCCGCGTCCCGGGGAGGCGGCAGCCGCGGGAGGGATTCGGAACGGAGCGCGAAAGGATGGGCTCGTGGTCCGCCCTCGAGGCCCCCTCCATAAACGCGCACTCCAGCCCCGACTCGGCACGAACTGATTCCTCAGGGGCCGCCATCCAGGCTGAGTGGAGAAGAGCGCCATGGGAACCGCCAACTCACCTCCCATCCCGGGCCTGACAAAGGCTACGAACTTCTTGGGCCAGCTCGGAGTCGCGCATGCGTAAGAAGGAGCGGGGCAAAGCTGCCAGGCCTCAGGCAGCCCCGGAACTACGAATCCCAGAAGCCCCTGGGCGTTGCCATACTCCGTTTCTCTGCAGGTGGGAGCACACGTGGCGCGGTTGGGAGAATCGAGGGAGCTGTGGTCTTCTTCCCTCTCGCGAGAGTATCGGGCTGCCGTGCTGGTGTCGGATTCACCCAAGGGAGAGCGCGAACGGTAGAGAGACTGAGCCGAGTTGGTGTCGGTACCCGAGCTTTGTGTGCTCGTGGGACTGCCCCGCAGTGCTTAGGGCTGCTGAGGAATTCAACCCTAATGACTTACCTGTAAACTATATTACAGGATATGTCTTTTCCCATACTTTTGTCCTCTCCAAACTCAGCCTTTGCCTTCAAACAACGTGAAAGGCGTGTTTTTGGGGACAGCAGATTGTCTACCCAGACCGATGTTCCTGTATCCATAGACTGCTTTGTGATACTGAAAATTAACTTGCGTGAAATAGATGAGTTGAAAGGACTCAGCCAGTTTCAACAAATTTGGAGCAACAGATTTCCTTGCAGCCATAAAAATTTAATTTATATAAAGAGGTTGTTTGCTCAGTGGAGCAAGGTTAGTCTCTGATTCTGCTCTTGCACGAAGCTACCCACCCCAAACTAAACATCTAAAAACATCTAAACTGCTCTTCCTCTTCTCAGTGAATTGTTTTCACAGTCCACAAACCCATTCACAAAAGCCAGAACTAGAATATTCTCAACTCTTCCTTTTCACTATTTATCTCCAAGTCCTATTTATTACATTTTTAAACAGCTCTCCAGTTTTGTTCATCTCTTTCTATTCCCAAGGGCTTTCCCTTATCTCTGGCCACCACTTTCACGAGGATTACACTGAGTCTCCTAAGTGATTTTCCTAACTCCATTTTTCTCTCCTACGTGTCTATTCTCCACACTTTCTGGGCAGTGATCATTCTAGAGCCAGAATTTAATGTTCTTTTACTGCTTAAAACTTTTGAAATGGCTTTCAAAAACTTTGAGGAAAGATGATTGTTAGTCCCCAGGGGAAGGTACTCCTTCTCTGGTTCCCATTATCTGTTGTGGCTCACACCCTTGTGTAATCCTCTCTTCCTGGGTAATCCCCTCTTCTGGAGTGTAAGTAGCACCTGGACTTACTGTTAAACAATTGAACACAACAAAGGTGACATGTCTCATGCTTCTTGCTGGCTTTGATGAAGCAAGGGTGTGATGTTGGGGGGCTCACAAGGCAAGGATCTATGGGTGGACTTCAGCCAACAGCCAGCAAGAACGAAAATCTGTCAACAAACCCCTGGTGCTTGGAAGTGGATCATTTCTAGTAGAGTCGTCACATGAGAACCCAGACCTGGCCTAAACCTTAATAGCTGGCTGCAGAGGACCCAGTTAAGCTGTGCTCAGACCTCACCCAAAGATACCGTGTGATAATAAATGTATGCTGTATTGAGCCACTAAGTATATAGTAATATTGCTACGCAAAGATTACTAATACAGCATCCTAATGTAGAGGACTAACTCCTTTCCCAAAACCCAACCTGAATATCCATTGGAAGGAGGGAGGTTGTTGAATTGAGAAACTATTAAAAAATTGATTGGCGGGGCACCTGGGTGGATCAGTCATTAAACGTCTACGTTTGGCTCAGGTCATGATCCCAGGGTCCTGGGATTGAGCCCCACATCTGCCTCCCTGCTCAGCGGGAAGCCTGTTTCTCTCTCCCCGACTCCCCTTGCTTGTGTTGCCTCTCTTGCTGTGTCTCTCTGTCCAATAAATAAAATCTTTAAAACAAAAATTGATTGGAAACCCTCCGGAAGGTAGATGGCTACAGTTGGTCCTAGGGGTGTGTGTATGTGTAGATAGGGAGCTCATGGCTGTAGCAATGGAAGACAGATGCTACAAGGAGACTGCAGGGAGAAGCTATAGGGAGTGGGGTGCTTTTTGGTGTTTTGTTGTGCTCCTTTCCATCTACTCCCACATTACCCTGTGTAATTCTTTGCCCACTCCTTCACCATTGCACAGGGTAGCCCTAGAACAGGGCCAGGAGAAGAGTGAATATTAATAGATGCAATCATATCCACCTCAAAGGGTTTTATTGAGCTTTCTCCCACTCTGACACACACATGAACATACACACACACACGCGCACACACACACATACACACACACTGAGCCAGGCAATTACTGTAAAAAAAAGAGGTAGAGATAGAAAGGTTCTCTGAGGGATAAGCTCATCTGGTAGGAAGAGAGTAGTAAATGCCATAGATTCTCTGTTTTTAAAATAACTCAAATTCCCCTAAATAGTCTTTGCCCTCTCTACATACATACATACGATCTACAGCTTGGGCGCTTCCTGGTGAGTTGAAGAAGACTGAGGAAACACTCCAGGGCTTGGTTCCCTTCCCTTCCTGTGTTACCAACTTATAACCTGGGCCTGGAGAGTATGGGTTTACAGGGAAAAAGAAATACCTGAAGAACTCTGTTGCCTTAAAAAGAAAATAAACTGGACAATTTATAGAAGATAAAGCAGTATTAGTGGACCATTTAGGATAAAATATATGTATTTTTAAAAAGCTGTCCTAAAAGATAAAGGAGGGCATAAGAAATATTTAGTGAGAATGTATTGAAACGAAACCATGTGTGAAAAATAAATGGTTGAAATAAAATATTCAATATTTTATTGAATACCAGAATGTATAAAGCTAGAGTAAATGTTATAGCTGGGCACTACTCTTCCATAAGAGAACAGAAATGGATAAAAAGTTGAAAAATATAAAAGAAAAAATTTTTAAAGATTTTATTTAATATTTGACAGAGAGAGACACAGCGAGAGAGGGAACACAAGCAGGGGAAGTGTGAGAGGGAGAACAGGCTTCTGGCTGAGCAGGGAGCCCGATGCCGGGCTTGATCCTAGGACCCTGGGATCACGATTGGAGCTGAAGGCAGATGTCTAACAAGTGAGCCACCCACGTGCCCCTAGAAAAGAAATGCTAAGCACCATGGAGACTGAATAGGTACTTATATAATGAGAATCCTAAAAGGAAAGGAAGAATAAACAGATAAAATACTTAAATAATAACCAAGGATTATAGAGAAATGAAAGTTTAGGAACTTCAATCGAAAGTTGTCCTAGAAAGTCAAACAAGAAAAATATGAAAAGACACCGCATATTATAATAAAATGTAACAACATAAATTTTGATTTACAACCTTGGGAGTTCCCTAGGTGGGATTTGAAACTGGCCCCCATATATGGCAAGGAAAGACTGAAGGAAGAAGCAGACTACTGCAGGTTGGTAGGCAGCAATTTTAATAAGCAAGAGAACTAATATACTAGGTTCTCTTGAACAGCTGTTCAAGAGACAAGTTGATCTCTGCACCTGCCCACCAGAATCTTTAAAGTTTCTATACAGGCTTTAACTGGGTTCAGTCCACATGGTCTCAATAACACATTACTCTCTCAAGGCTGCATCCCCAAAATGACTCCTACTGTGGGAATGCTGGGCAGAACATATATTTCCAAGGGCAGGGGAGGGGGTGAGGAGTCTCCCATTCCTTGGGTGTAGCTCACAGGTCAATTGGCAGTCACTCTTCATGACCTCTTACACAATAAATAGCAAGAAATTCTGAAAACTCCCAGATACAAAACTGATCACATATAAAACAGAGTTCACTGCTAAATCCCCTGTGTTAAAAGCAGTGCCTGGCATTTTGTGGCCCTTTAATAAGTAATAATTGAATAAATAAACCTAGTACCTAGTAGTACTGACTACAGAAAAAAGTGTAATGATATTTTCAAATTGTAAAAGATTGTAAGTTTGAATCTAGAATTTTATATTTTAATTAAGTATCATGCAAATGAGTCAAAATAAGGCTACTCTCATGCATACAAGAACTTGGAAATTTTCTTGGAGGATGTATGTCCCAAGAAGGAAAAGAGTTCGGGAAGATGCTTTAGGATATAAAAGACAGTAAGGGCAAAAATAATTTAATAAAGGATTTGTTATCATCTTTTAGGAACAGAGGTAGTGAAACAGGGTGACGCCAACTACATGTACATAACAATTCCACTAAAATTTTAGTACCAGTGAGGATGAGGTTGGGAAGTAGAAATGCACAAATAAGGTGACTAAGTTACTTGTCTTGAGTAGAGGGAGGATATACATAGTTACAAGTTGGATAAATAGATGGGTTGTGGGGAAGAAACGTAGGTGTGAGTTTTAATAAATTAGGTACAAGTACCATGAGGGTAAAAGTACATGTATAACATTCAAACCAGAGCGAAAGAACTGATTTTTAACTTTTTTTAAAAAGATTTTATTTATTTTTGAGAGAGACAGAGAGAACAAGCATGGGGAGGGGCAGAGGGAAGAGGGAGAAGTAGACTACTCACTGAACAGGGATCCCAGGACCCTGGTATCATGACCTGAGCTGAAGGCAGACACTTAACTGACTGAGCTACCCAGTCACCCCAAGAACTGATAATTTAATGGAAACCC